ATGAAATACTGCCTGCTGGTCAATCGTATATACAATGGTGTTACCATGAGTGTTTTCTCTACCAACAAAGTAAGTCTTAGGTCTTACTATGAATATATTTATCCTCACAAATGGTACACTCGCTATCTGTGGACTCTCAGAGAGTCTTTGCAGGGCTGATAGGGGTTAGAGTTACAGGGCTTAGGCGTAACTATTTTCTTCGCCATCCAAACCCGGAACCTGGGAAAACAAGTCAACCTCCACACCCTTCTCCGAATCCCTTAATCCCCTAAACCCTAAACCCTAAACCCTAAACCCTAAACCCTAAACTCTAGACCCTCCTTCCCTAAACCCAACAACCCAGGACCCAAACTCCGAAGGTTTGAACCCTTCAAACCTCAAATTGGTCGTGCCCGAGTACCTTCTAGGGTTCACAACGTTTAGTAAACCCTAAACCCTAAACCCTAAACCCTAAACCCTAAACCCTAAACCCTAAACCCTAAACCCTAAACCCTAAACCCTAAACCCTAAACCCTAAACCGTGGCCCGGACCCCCCAATCCTACACTCGGTAGGCCCTTGAGACATTTTGGTATTTTCCCTTATTCAGGAAGATTTTCAGAGGGTTTCAAGGGTCATCCTAGTATCGGAGGTGTAGCCGAGGAGAGCCCACTGATGACTCTAATCAGGGTTTAGGGTTTAGGGTTGTTGAGGGGTTTCGAAGGTTTTGGTTAAGTTTGTGTTTTTGGGGTTCTCTTCTCGGGTTGGCCATTTTGTGTTTTTTTTTTTGGGTTTGCTTTTTGTGGCTCAGGCGTTAGGATTTTGAGTGGCTTTTGTGCTGTGAGGGGGGGTTACATTGGCTGTTACAGGGGATCAGGGTTTGTAGATTTTACAGGGCTTATGGTTACAAGGTATATAGGACCCAAGGGCACTATTGTGAAGGGCTGTAAGCGTTCAGCGTTTTGGGAAGAACTGGGTGAGGTGTGCTTCGGCCCACGATCAGAGACCCTCCTCACTGCTTCCGTGGACTGCCGTTGTGTTTGTGTTTTTTGTTCGGAAGGGGGTGGGGACTGGACTATTTATGCATCATTGGCTTGTGTCTAAACAAGAATCCCTAAACCCTGAAACCTCAACCCTTCATTCATGGTCTTCCCAACGCTTGTTGGGTTGAGGGTTTGAGGGCCAGCGCCTAAAGACCTCCTCAACTCTTTCACCTCAAAAAATTGATTTCGGCTAAGTCTTGCTCTTCTACAACCCCCGTGAACCCCCCTGATCTGGGGCTTAGGGCTCTAGTCTAGAAATTTAGGGGTTCGGCGGTTTATGGGTGAAGCCACTCAAGTATCCACAATCTTCAGAGACCTTCCCGAGAGTTGACTCGGTTCCGCCCTTGTTTTCTTTAAGAGCCCGGTTCTTTTTTCAACTAAGAAGGTGTTTCTGAAAAACCTGATCCTAGACCCTATTCCCCTAAACTGCCAGAAACCAACAAAAATAAGCCCTAAACCCCTCCCTAAACCCGCAACCCTAAAGTCCCAAAACCCAAATCCCTGCTCCCTTGCTACTTACTTGGGGTAACCCTAAACCTTAAACCCTATTCCCTACACCCCAAACCCCAAACCCTAAACCCTAAACCCCAAACCCCAAGCCCCAAACCCCAAACCCAAAACCCCAAACCCCAAACCCCAAACCCTAAACCCTAAACCCTAAACCCTAAACCCACGGAAGGACCGCACTGCCAAGATCTGGTCGACGAATGAAGGCTCAGCTGTGCACAGCCTCGAGGGCCACCAGGCCAGGCTGCTGGCGGAACAGGGAACCCTCACACACCTCTGCTTGGGTTTAGGGTTTAGGGTTTAGGGTTTAGGGTTTAGGGTTTAGGGTTTAGGGTTTAGGGTTTAGGGTTTAGGGTTTAGGGTTTAGGGTTTAGGGTTTAGGGTTTAGGGTTTAGGGTTTAGGGTTTTAGGGTTTAGGGTTTAGGGTTTAGGGTTTAGGGTTTAGGGTTTAGGGTTTAGGGCTTACCCAACAGCCCCTCAACTCCGGACCCCCCTAAACACTTAACCCCTACCCCTTGGAACCCTGAGACCTTGTCGGCTTGAGGGTTCAGGAGTTTTTGTGGTTTGGGAGTCTCAGGTTTTCGGATTTAGGCTTGGGATGTACCTCCGTATACGAACACTGTCAGTATATGGGGGAACTTTAGGGTCTAGGGAACCCCCAAACCCTTAAGCTACAACCCTCGCCCCCTAAACCCTAAACCCTAAACCCTAAACCCTAAACCCTAAACCCTAAACCCTAAACCCTAAACCCTAAACCCTCGCCCCTCCACCAAACCCTTTTGCAGGGTGAGGTGACGGGCGCCCGATTCTCACCGCCACAGGTGTGGGTGCTCGGCATTTTAGGGTTTAGGGTTTAGGGTTTAGGGTTTAGGGTTTAGGGTTTAGGGGGGGTTTTGGGGTTTAGGAGTTAGGTCTCCCACTTCCGGGCGACTGAGTCCCCCCCCCCCCGTTTAGGAGTTCTTTCAATGTTTCTGTGCATAGCCGCATGTTTTTTTTTTTTTTCATAGGCCTGCTCTCTTTTACTAGAAGAGCTCAGGGTTGTGGATGGCTGCGGATTGCCTCGTTCAGGGGGTTCGAATCTTTCACCCACAGCCCTAAGGCCTCTTCATACTGCTTCGGAAAACGCCCTGGACCGTAATATAGGGGTCGGAAAAATTCAAATGGCATTCCCTTATAGTCCCTGTGTAATTCTACTACAATGACCCCCAAAACCCTATTCTACTTATTAAGGTCCCTGCAGTAAGCCACGAGCAGGATTTCTTGGAGCTTCCCTAAACCCTAAAAACTAAACCCTAAACCCTAAACCCTACACCCTAAACCCTGAACCCTGAACTCTTCTAGAAGTCCATGTTCTGGAAAGACACCCTAAACTGAGGGGCGCAGAACTTTCATAAGGTCCTAGGCCCCTCAACCGCCACAGATCCCCGGTCGTCCGAAAGCCCCGAACCTAAAGCCCTCCCACATCCGGCTCAGAGTTAGCAGGTTTTGGGGTTTAGGGTTTGGGGTTTAGGGTTTGGGGCTTTCGGTTGAGGTTCTGTTTCGGCAGGGCGCAGGAGGTACAGGATTGGGCTTTGGGCACGACCACTGACCCTTTGAGTTTTTGAACTGTAGCTAGCTCGCAAGGTAACCGTGTTATCATCCCTTATGCACGCCCTTCCCATATTATGCTGTGTACTTTCCTTTGAGGATTGCTTGACTTCGTGATACCGGCAACCCTAAGCCCAAACTGCAAAGCGCAAGCCCTAAGCCCTAAGCCCCTAAACCCTAAACCCTAAACCCTAAACCCCAAACCCAAAACTGTGTTGGATGCTGGGAAGCCCTAGCCCAGACGCCTGCAACCCCAAACCCTAAACCCTGAACCCTAAACCCTAAACCCCAAACCCTAAACCCTAAACCCTAAACTATGATTCAGGGCAGCCTCGTTGCCACTTCCTCTGTTGACCACGACGTGAGGCCTTCCGCCATGGGCAGCTTTCGCGGTTAGGGTTTACCTGAACCCTAAACCCTAAACCCTAAACCCTAAACCCTAAACCCTAAAGGCTCAAATGTAGTTCCCTTCTGGGATTTACTTATATAGGGTAAATTCTAGTACACTACCCCAAGGAAGGTACTTAGGGTTCAGACGATTCAGATTTTTATAGGGGATTCTAGTACACTACCCCAAGAAAGGTACATAGGGTTGACATGGTTCAGAGAGTAGGGCTTCAAAGTGTTAGGTGGAACAGTTGTGGGGGCACATTCTTGATTGAATCAACCCTAAACCCTAAACCCCAAACCCTAAACCCTAAACCCTAAACCCTACATCTTACGCCCTAAACCGTATGTCCCATCTCTGCCTCAGGGATTAGGGTTTAGGGTGTAGGGCTTCGGGTTTTTTAGGGTTTAGGAACTAAACCCCTAGGCCCTCAACCCTAAGCTAAACCTCAATCCCCAAACGAACAAGTTGCAGATTCTTCCTCCCATCTCTGAGGGTTTTTGTGTTTAGGGTTTAAGGCAAGGGTTTAGGGTTTAGGGTTTAGGGTTTAGGGTTTAGGGTTTAGGGTTTAGGGTTTAGGGTTTAGGGTTTAGGGTTTAGGGTTTAGGGTTTAGGGTTTAGGGTTTAGGGTTTAGGGTTTAGGGTTTAGTTCGCAGTTATAGGCTCTACTAACCCTAAACCCGTTCAACTAGAATTCCCAGCTGCATCCCAAGACTGAATCTCTCTTACCAAACACAACTAAAGAATAATGCAGGTTGGGAGGCTTCCAGGAAGTTTAGGGTTTAGGGTTTAGGGTGTAAGAGGTTACAGGCGACTGACTGAACTCTCAGTTGCTTGAAGATGCTGTGGACCTCTAATGCCGACCTCGTTGCAACCGAATCCGTTTCTGCCTTCTCCTGGCCAAGATATAGTAAGCAAACCCTAAACCCTAAACCCCAAACCCCAAACCCTAAACCCTAAACCCTACACCCTAAGCGACCGTTGCAACTCCGAACCTGCGTGCCAAGCATCTGAACCAAACAGATTAGCACGAGCAAAGCCTTGGACGCAAGTGCACCTCAGTCCCCCATCATTACGACTGGCCTCGCAGTCCGGTGGCTCAAGTGGACCACTCTCCACACAAGGTTTAGGGGTTTAGGGTTTAGGGTTTAGGGTTTAGGGTTTGGGCTAAGGGTGGGGGGATGCAGGGAAACAGGTGAAAAGGAATCCGTTGTAGACCCTGTCGCTTGTCGTTCTCTTTCCTAGGCACGAACATACTCCCGAACCCTTTAAACCCTAAACCGTAAACCGAGGGTTTCGGGTTTAGGGTGTAGGGTCGTTATGATCCCCATTCGGGCACGTGGACCCGAAACCCGTTCAAGGCTCTTTGCCCCCCAGAAGTACTTCGCCACAGAAACAGTAGCCATGGGGATTGGGCCTGAGGATTCGTGCTTAGGGTAGCAGGTTTCCTCCGTCAGCATCGCTGCGGACTGTAAGAGCGAAGGTACCTTAACTACCATGTTCCGATGCGCGCTAGCCATCGCTACACTCTGCGCCACCGCAACTTGTGCCACTCTGCCTCTGGGCTTCTCAACCCAGACTCTGATACTCAGCAGGCCCTTGGGACATTTTATATTTTCCCTTTTTGGGTTTAAGAGGATCATATTCAGGAATATTTTTTAGAGGGTCTTAAGGGCCATCCCAGGATGCATGACGGATCGCAGAGAAAGTTCAAGGTCTACGTTCCCAGCGCCTCAAACTACACGGGCCTCTTCTTCATGAACCATGGCTGGACGGAGACCATGGACAGCGCGTGCGACTACGGTCAGATAGAGACATACGCGGAGCAGTATGGCTTTGTAGGAGTTTGCCCACAAGGGCTGATGTACTCAACAGGCGAGACTGGCTGGAATGTTGGCACCTGCTGTGGAGGAGCTGAATCTGCACAGACAGATGATGTGTCTCGGAGTTGAAATCCCTGTGAGGGCTTTTAGTACCTTTACCCTCCTGAGCTTACAGGGGCTCTAAAGCAGAAGTAGAGGGTAGATGATCCCCATGTTCGGGTTCACCCCTAACCCCTAACCCTAAACCCTACACCCTAAACCCTAAACCCTAAACCCTAAACCCTAAACCCTAAACCACCTGAGAAGTCCCCTAGGTCGGCTTCATCCAGAAAGTCATCGAGCTCATCCAGGCCGAGCTGACCATTCCGCCCGGCCGCACCTTTGCGGGCGGCTTTAGCAACTTGGTACGGTGCAGGGTTTAGGGTTTAGGGTTTTGGGTTTTAGGGTTAGGGGTAGCCCCGTGGTACCCTTTACCCTTTTGTTTTACAGGGCTACCGAGGCAATGGCTGCTCCTTGTCCTTCCGCTTGGCTTGCGAGCTCTCCCACATGATCCACGGGGTGGGCTGCGCTGGCTCTGCGTACAACCATCGCTACTCCGGAGCCGGTGTTCTCTCCTGCAACCCCACATATCCGCGCCCATACTGGTCCCAAGTAGGTAGCGGCGATTTTTTCTACACCGTCTCGGAAGCCAAATCAGGGTGGCAGCAGTATCTAGGACTTTAACTCTTTCTATTTTTAGGGTTGGGGTTCCCTTTCAATCCCCTCAAAACCAAAAAGGGTACATTTTTTTTATTCCGAGGTTACTCCTGGGTCACCCTAAACCCCAAACCCCAAACCCCAAGCCCCAAGCCCTAAACCCTAAACCGTAAACCCTAAACCCTAAACCCTAAACCCTATAAACCCTAGGTATGGTACCCAAGTGCTGGGCTGCTCTTCGGCGACGTCCGTGGTTTTCAACCAGGACTCGGTGACGTGCGAAGAGCACACGCAGCTCAGCCTCGCACCAGGGTTTAGGGTTTAGGGTTTAGGGTTTGGGGTTTAGGGTTTGGGGTTTAGGGTTTAGGGTTTAGGGTTTAGGGTTTGGGGTTTAGGGTCTACAGCTTGCTTAAAGCCGATAAGGGACAGGGTAGGTAACCTTTAACATTTTTGTTCTATCGAATCCTAATGACTCTAGATGTATATATATATATATACATATATCTGACAATAAGGTCAACCTCTTTTGGGCTGGGGATTTCAGCCCCTAAGAAGCCTGGTCTTGGTTCAAGACACCCGAAACTCTCCCAAAAGTCCTGCTGTTATAGGGTTTAATCCCTTCCCCCTAATATTAAACGGGGGGTCCCCCCCCCCCGCCCCCCCCTCCCCCAATAGAAATTCGAAATGTGTTTTTGTTTTTCGTTTTTTTATCGAAATGCCATTTTCTAGACTCCAGGTTTACTCAAGTAATTAAGTACTTAAGTGTGGTGTAAACTGAAAGAGAGAGACAGAAGAAAGAGAGAGAGAGAGAGAGAGACAGAGCTCAACTCTGGCAGCACAGCAAGGCTCAGACAGAGCCACTGAGACACACACACACACACACAGAGTCACTCTGTCACTCACTCGCACACACACACACACACACACACTCACTCAGGGTTTTGGGAGCCCTGAACCCCCCCCCCCCCCCGCTAATTCGGAATAGGGTTTAAAAGGCGGGCTCGGTTTCGGCAGGATTTTCCGGAAAGCGTTTTTAGTATTAGGGGGGTCTGTAATAAAAGGGGGAAGGGATTAGGGTTCAGCATTTAGGGTTGTCCTGAAGCTTGGAAACCTCAAGCCTGATAAACTACGTATAAACCCTAAACCAGACCCCCCAAAAACAACACAAACCCTAAACCCTAAACCCTAAGCCCTAAACCCTAAGCCCTCTCAACCCTAAACACCCTAAGTACCCGAAACCCCCAAAATCTAAGTATGCAAGCATGGGCCCCTTAGTAGGGTCCCTTACCCTTGCTTATAGGGATCCGAAGTATGGGCCCTCATTCTATACAGTGTATAGAAGGTTTGATAACAAGGGACCCAAAATAAAGGGCCTATACTTGGGATTCTACAACAAAGGACTCCCATAACCCTAAACCCTAAACCCTAAACCCTAAACCCTAAACCCTAAACCCTAAACCCTAAACCCTAAACCCTAAACCCTAAACCCTAAACCCTAAACCCTAAACCCTAGACCCTAGACCCTAGACCCTAAACCCTAAACCCTAAACCCTGAACCCTAAACCCTAAACCCTAAACCCTAGACCCTAGACCCTAAACCCTAAACCCTAAACCCTAAAACCCGAAACCCTCCCAAACAATAGACTTCACACCAAGAAGCCCAGAGGTCCTGCACGGGGTCATTACGCAGTCGCTTCTGCGAGCTCGCTGACCTGGGGCACGAGACTGGACGCAATGATCCCTTTTGGGGTTTAGGGTTTAGGGTTTAGGGTTTAGGGTTTAGGGTCTTGGGTTTTAGGGTTTAGGGTTTAGGGTTTAGGGTTTAGGGTTTCGGGGATGATAGGGTTCATAGGGACTACAGGATTTTTAGGGGATTTGGGGCTTTGGGGGCTTGTAGGGAATTCAGGGTTTAGGGCTTCAGGGTTTCTTGGATTTAGGATATAGGGTTTCCGGAAAACAGGGTGCCCCTTTTTTGGGGATGCCTACAAGTTTGGGGTCTAAACGGGGTACCCATTTAGGGTTTGCGGATTTAGGGTTTACAGGGTTTAGGACAGGGTCTTAGCATTCTGGTAGTTGTACTTTTGTGCGTCATTTAGGGGCACCTTTCTTTGCACGGGCAACCTTTCTTTCCCAAATCCCAGGAGTTCTAAGCAACATTGTACTCTTCCTGTGTTCAAGAGAGCTTGGGATGTTCCCCCTATACGATAAGTCCTGAACAGGGATTATAATACCCGATTATAACCCCTGTTAAGGACTGTTAGTATAAGTGGGAACATCCCAAAGTAGAGCCTTTAAGGGTTTCGGGTTCCGAAGTTCAGAAGTCCAATATCAGGGTCGGAATAGTCCAGGCCTAAACCCTACACCCTAAACCCTAAAGGGCCCTATACTGATTCAGGCTCCTACAGTAGAGCAGCCGAGGAGTATCAAAGCTCCGGCCGATCTCCGTACCAAATGAGCCCGACAGAAGCTGCCTGGCCCCTCGGTAGGCCACTTGGGACATTTGTTGTTTTATGTTTTCCCTTATTGGGTCCAAAAGGATCATGCTCAGGATTTCCGTTTAGAGGGTTTAGGGTTTATATAGGGTTTAGGGCTTAGGGTTTAAGAGGGTCATATCAATAGTAATATATTTTCAGAGGGCTTTGCAGGTGTAATTATAGGCTTGAACATACAGATTTTTAAGCGGAATGTTTTTCTTCAGACCTTTTTTATGTCCCTCTTAGGCTTTTCCTGACCCAAACTCAGACAAGCTCCACGGAAAGCACGGCGGGTGAGGCCAGTGGAGCGAGCCATGCTCTCGGGCGCTTTTTTCCTGCAGCCTCCTTCCTGTCTCTCCTGCCACTCGCCCTAAGCTATTGAGCCCTAAGCTTATGACTACGAACTGCTTCAGAACCCCCCCCCCCCCCCCCTTCCAGAAAAGAAAAGAAACACACATTCTTCCTTCAACAAGGTCAATATAAGGAATATTTTCCTGCATGTCTTGCAGGGGGGTTCTGAAGCAAATATTAGATAAAGTTTGAGAAAAGGGTCCCAGTTGCATTTTCCTGCCGGGTGGTGCCCTGCAACTGCCAATACCCGTAGGGAAGTGCCTGAAAGGCACGAGCTTTGTGAGAGCTTTCCTTCCTCATGAGTCATGTCATGAGTCTGCCACGATGCCGCATACCCTCTACTACGAACCATTGCGCTACTAGCGCGCCTTTTGGGGTGGGTATACCTCATTTGGATCCCTATACCCTATACCCTAAACCCTAACACCCAAAACCTAAAGGGGCATACGTGGCCTTAATGTGCTTCCCAAAATAGGAAGTATATGAGAACACGGTACATGGACCCTTCAAGTTCTAAAACCCTAAACCGAAACCCTAAACCCTAAACCGTATATAAGAACAAAGTGCATGGACCTTCAGAATCACATGGACATTGAAGCCCTTTAAACCGTAAACCCCTAAACCCTAAACCCGACCATAAACCCTAAACCCTAAACCCTAAACCCTAAACCCTAAACCCTAAACCCTAAACCCATCATGGACGTGGAAGCCCTTGAAGTGTTCATGCTGGGCCCCCCAAAGGAGGCCCAGAACGCCGAACCGCAACCCTCGAAGCCCTGAGGAAAATCCAGCTGATCCCAGCTGTTTAGGGTTTAGGGTTTAGGGTTTAGGGTTTAGGGTTTAGGGTTTAGGGTTTAGGGTTTAGGGTTAGGGTTTAGGGTTTAGGGTTTAGGGTTTAGGGTTTAGGGTTTAGGGTTTAGGGTTTAGGGTTTAGGGTTTAGAGTTAGGGTTGAGGGTTGAGGGTTGAGGGTTGAGGGTTGAGGGTTGAGGGTTGAGGGTTGAGGGTTGGTTTAGGGTTTAGGGTGGAAGGTACACCTTCAAAGCTCGGAAACTTGAGTGCCGAATCTCACACCCCTGTTACCCCCCAACACCCTACATGCCCTTAAACAAGCCTTACCGGGGTCCTCATTATAAGAGAGTCCTACTATTTGGGGATCTATATTAGGGTTCCATGATATTCGAGCCCTCCACATGGCAAACAATCAGACTCCTCGTACGAGCCAGAACAAGAAGGCGCTCTTCGGCTTCAAAAGGGTTTAGGGTTTAGGGTTTAGGGTTTAGGGTTTAGGGTTTAGGGTTTAGGGATCCCTGCGACACCATCGCCGAAGCCGAAAGCCATCAACCCTAAACCCTCATGCAACCCCAACGACTTGCAGTCGCCACCCTAAACCCTAAACCCTAAACCCTAAACCCTAAACCCTAAACCCTAAACCCTAAACCCTAAACCCTAAACCCTAAACCCTAAACCCTGGCCTTTTTCAGTACCTCCCCCGTGTGGATGCCAGGATCTGGGAGACGGCCACCGGCACCTTCCTGCGCATCCTCAGCCGGGGCTCTCGGGGGTCGAGATCTCGTAAAGTCTTGGGGTTTAGGGTTTAGGGTTTAGGGTTTAGGGTTTAGGGTTTAGGGTTTAGGGTTTAGGGTTTAGGGTTTAGGGTTTAGGGTTTAGGGTTTAGGGTTTAAGTTCCAGAATAAGTGATTGGGGTCAAAGTTTTGGGGCTAGTAGTTTACACAAGGCCTAAACCCTCAACCTTCAACCCTAAACCCCGAACCCTAAACCCTAAACCCTATAAACCCTAAACCCAAAACCCGCGTAGGGTTTAGTAACAGTTTAGTAAGCCTACCACACCTCAAGCAACGAGGCACTTGTGGAGTTCTGCAAAAATCTTGGCAGCAACAACCATCTTTAGGAGCGTTAAACCCTGAACCCTAAACCCCAAACCCTAAACCTTAAACTCTAAACCCTAAACCCTAAAACCCTAAACCCTAAACCCTAAACCTTAAGTGACACATTGGGAGACACCTGCAACACCTGACGGGTTGGTTTTCGAAAACTCTCCCAACCCTGGACCGCAGACCAGCAAAGCCCTCTTGCGAGACCCTGCAAAGCCCCAAACCCAAAGCTTGCGTCTTGGCGTTCGATTTAGGGTTTAGGTTTGAGGGTTTAGGGTTTTGGGTTTTGAGTTGATATGGGCTTTCTGGTTAAAGAGGGTTTAGGGTTTAGGGTTTAGGGTTTAGGGTTTAGGGGCTGAGGTGGCTTCGCCGTCTCCGTGTGCCACCTTGCCTTTGCCCCCAGTGGCGACCTGGTCGCAGCCGCCGGAGCAGATGGCGAGGTGGCAACAAGCCCGACGCCGGGATCCTTGTAGCTATATGGGTTTAGGGTTTAGGGATGTTTAGGGTTTAGGGTTTAGGGTTTCGGGTTTAGGGTTTAGGGTTTAGGGTTAAGGCTTTTCTCTTTAACTAGGGTTTCTGTCTTATAGGGCATATATCTAGGGGCTATACTAAGGTATAAGGGTAACAGATAAAGAGGCCACCCGCTTTTAGAATATATATAGTAGATACTTGGGCCCTCAAGCTACTATATAGGAAACCTTTTCAGGCCCAAGTATGTACTATGTAGGTACATGGATCCTTAGGGAAAGGGTTTGGGGTCTTATGGTGAGAGAGACAGAGAGCGCGAGAGGGACGGAGAGAGGGAGGGAGGGCGAGAGGGCGAGAGGGCGAGAGGGAGCAAGCTGAACATGCAAACCCGAAACCCTAAGCTCGAAACCTTGCACCCTCAACAGGGTTTAGGGTTGAGGTTTCAGGGTTTTTTTGGTCTTTTGGTTTTTTTTTAGGGTTTTTTTAGGTTTTTTTAGGGTTTAGGGCTTGCGGTTTAGGGTGTGGGGCTGCAGGAGTTAGAGAATCTCGTGCAGGCCCGCCTGTGGAACGTCCAGACGGGAGAGGCCAGCATGCTTCTGAGCACTAGTTTGGTTTTTAGGTCTAGGAGCTCAGGGTTTTAGGGTTTTAGGGTTTAGGGTTTAGAGTTTAGGGTTTTTGGTTTAGGGTTTAGGGTTTAGGGTTTTTTGTTTGGGGCGCACCGGGCTTAGCAGAGTTAGTCTATATGGGTTTATTCTGTTTTTGTGCCCCAAGAGTCCTACTTGCTGGTTCTTGGTAGGGGAATGGGGAATGTGATTACCCTGGAAAGGCCCTTAGTGGGTATATATCGGGGATATAAGGCGCCTAAACCCTAAACCCTAAACCCTGAACCCTGAACCCTGAACCCTGAACCCTAAACCGTTCCCTACCAAGAACCAGCCTGGATAGCCTCAAGGCGCTGGATGACAATTGAGAGTTGGGTAAGCTGGCGAACAGACAGGCCGTTAGCAGCCGAGCCCGGTGGATGTTGGGTGGTGTATAGGGTCCATGGTTTATTGGGTTTAGGGTCTGGGTCCCTGTTGGTTATCATTGTACTATTTTGACCTATTGAGTTCCCGTATGGGATACAAATAAGTATACCCCCCACAAGGAAGCAGGGGTAGTTTCTATAGGGTTTCTAGGGTCTGGGGATCCCTAAACCCTAGACCCTAAACCCTAGACCCTAAACCCTAAACCGTTTTAAACCCCAAACCCTAAAACCTAAACCCTAAACCCTAAAACCCTAAAACCCTAAAACCCTAAACCCTAAACCCTAAACCCTAAACCCTAAACCCTAAACCACCTATTTTCCCTTTATTCTTCGTAGCTCCTACATAACCCCGCACCTATTTTCCCTTTATTCTTCGTAGCTCCTACATAACCCCGAAATAAGCCCCTAAGGTCCCTCGTAAGCGTCCCTCCTGTTTTCTCTTGAGTTTAGGCAACTCCTGTGATCAAAGCAAGACAAGCCCTACACCCTACACCCTACACCCTACACCCTAAACCCTAAACCCTAAACTCTAAACCCTAAACCCTAAACCCTAAACCCTCCAAAGGTTTCCCCTGCGTTCAAAGCAAGATCACTCCCGGAGGCATTGCTCCGCGTGGCCGGACACCAGGATGTCGCCACCGGCGTAGCCTTTGCGGCCGATGGGCAGCCGCTCCGGAGAAGATTCAGCAAGCCCTATAAACCCTAAACCCTAAACCCTAAACCCTATACCCTAAACCCTAAACCCTAAACCGTATACCCTAAACCCTAAACCCTAAACCGTATACCCTAAACCCTAAACCCTAAACCCCAAGCCCTCAACCCTAAACCCCAAACCCCAAGCCCTAAACCCTAAAGCCTAAACCCTAAACCCTGACCCTTAAACCCTAAACCCTTTGGGAGTAGAGGGGTGATGAGAGTGGTGGCTTTAGGGGCTCAGGGCTCGGGGTTGTTTAGGGCTTTTTGGCAGGGCTTCTTCAGGGACGTTTAGAGAGCTTCTAGGGGGGTTAGGGGCTTAGGGAGATCCGAGCGCTTTTCGGTTGATTTAGGGGCTTAGGAGGCAGGGAGAGCAGTCGAAGCACTCTACGCCCGCAGGCCGAAGGCACGACGTTCATTCTCCTCATCGATGGAGCTCCCCTAAGTGCGAGGTTTAGGGTCCTAAGACCTAAACCCTAAACCCCCAATCCATAAACCCTAAACCCTAACCCTAAACCCCCAAGCCCTAAACCCTAAACCCTAAACCTGTTTGCACCTGAAGCCCCCCCTAAGTCAGCCCTCAAAGCTGAATTTCAAACCTAAAGCCCCCCAAACCCTAAACCCCTAAGGTAGCCGAAACCCTAAACCCTAGAGTACCCAAAACCCTAAACCTAAACCCTAAACCCTAAACCCTAAACCCTAAACCCTAAACCCTAAACCCTAAACCCTAAACCCTGAACCCTGAACCCTGAACCTTACAAGCCTAAACCCCAAGTCTCAAAACCTGGAACCCTGCGAGCCCACGTCGGAGACAAGGTGCATCGCCACCTGCAGCAGCGATGGCACGGCGGTGCCCTGCTCGGGGTTGTGGCTTAGAGTAGGGTTTAGGGTTTAGGGTTTAGGGTTTAGGGTTTAGGGTTTAGGGTTTAGGGTTTAGGGTTTAGGGTTCAGTGTGTAGGGTTTAGGGTTTAGGGTTTAGGGTTTAGGGTTTAGACAACCCTAAACTCTGAAACCCTAATACCTGTAACGTTCCAAGTAGGCTGAATTGGGACATGTCTGCATTTACCCTGATTGTGTTCCAACCGTCAAGCCCCTAAAGCCCTACACCCTAGAATTCCAAAACCCTAAGCCCCAAACCCTAAAACCCTAACACTCTAAACCCTCAAGCTCTAATACCCTAAACCTTACAACCCCTCAGACTCTAAACCCCTAATGCAAGGGATTTTGGGGCAGAAAAGGGGAGAATTAGAGCTTGAACTCTTCTTTGGTTTAAAGTGTTTGGGCTTCGGGCTTATGATTTGCGCTTGAAGGTTATAGGGTTAAAGGGCTTCGGGAGAAATCGAAATGCGAAGGTTCTTTGGAACATCGAGAGTGGCTTGCGCGAGGCTACCCTCGTAGGCGCGGCGAATTTTGTCAGTTTTGCGAGCTCCCGGGCGAGATTTCGAGACATGCCTCTTTTTTTGTTGTTTAGGGTTTAGGGTTTAGGGCTTAGGGCTTAGGGTTTAGGGTTTAGGGTTTAGGGTTTAGGGTTTAGGGTTTAGGGTTTAGGGTTTTGGGTTTAGGGTTTAGGGTTTAGGGTTTAGGGTTTAGGGTTTAGGGTTTAGGGTTTAGGGTGAAGCAGCTTCGGGCTCCGGGCTTGCAAGGTTCTTTGCGGGGTTTGGGAAATGCAGTTGGGGGTTTGTGGGGTGTATCTGGTGCATGACGGGCCTCTCGAACTCCTGCTTAAGGCCCCCTAAACTCTGGGAGCCCTGCAGTTTGTGTCAAAATTGAAACCCCTAAAGCCTAAACCCTACTTATTCCTATAGCCTGAACCCTGAACCCAGAACCCTAATTAAACCCTAAACCCTAAACCCTAAACCCTACTTATTCCTAGAGCGCTCTGTCCTTACCCAGCATCCCGTGCCAGGCCACGAGGAGGCTGTCATGGCCGCCGCCTTCATTTGCAAGAGCGACCTCGCGACGGACAAAAACGATGCAGAATCAGTTTTCCTCACACGAGGGCAATTTATGAGCTTGTAAAGCCCTCTAGGGTTTAGGGTTTAGGGGTTTAGGGCTTAGGGTTCAGGGTTCAGGGTCTAGAGCAATTCCCAACAGGAGCACTTTACGACCCGTTTCAACCTTACACCCTATTCTCTCCATAGTGATACGTCAGTCACAAGAAGTGAGTGACCTTAAGCCCTATAAACCTTAAACCCTAAACCGCATGTGTTTTGTGAGTTTTGTGTGTAAAGTTTTCGTTGCCGAAGGTTCAATCCCTTCAACTCCTTGGCTCATAATCCCTGTGCCAGTGTGCTCAGAGTCGGTTTCAGGGTTCAGGGTTTAGGGCTTAGGGTTTAGGGTTTAGGGTCTCAGCTTCTAGAATGTTGCAGATCGGGGGATTTAGACTGTTCCCTTCTAGTAGCTTAAGGCTTTGGGGTTAGAGGTGCCTAGGCCCGAAATGTACACTAAGCCGGAGCTCCAAAACCTAAAACGTTGCGGAGGGCAGGTCGATCGTACACGGTGGGTGCTAAGCATTTACGCAGCAAAGTATATCCTTAGGCGAGTTTTTCGATAAAGCTTAGCTTCAGTTGCTCAACAGTAGCAGAGGCAAAATCTTGAAAAAGGCCAAGGGCCCTTAAGACCAGTCAGGTATCTTGCTTTAGTATCGCGAGACCCATCTAAATCCCTTTCTCTGTCCCTCCCCTAAAGCCCAAAGCCTAAACCCTAAACCCTAAAACCCTAAACCCTAAACCCTCAACCCTAAACCCTAAACCCTAACCCTAAACCCTAAACCCTTAACCCTTAAACCCTAAAACCCTAAACCTTTTTCAACCCCGCCTCCCAGCTTTGGCTCTGCACCTCTCTGCACGAGAGTTTGGTGGCCCGTGCGGCTGATGATCGGCATCATTGGAGCCACTTGCTCTTGGATTGGGGTTTGGGGTTTGGGGTTTAGGGTTTAGGGTTTAGGGTTTAGGGTTTAAGGTTTAGGGTTTAGGGTTTAGGGTCACTGGAGCCACATGCTCTTACTTAAGGTTTTAGGGTTCAGGTCTTTAGGGCTTAGGGTTTATTAGTGTTTAGGGTTTAGAGGTTTAGTGGTTTAGGGTTTAGGGATACTTGGGATTTAGGGTTTAGGGCTTAGGGCTTAGGGCTTAGGGCTTAGGGCTTAGGGCTTAGGGGCATTGGACTTGCTCTTACTCAGGGTGTAGGGTTTTTAGGGCCTACGGAGCTTGGGGTTTCGGGTTTCGGTAGAACTCTAACCCTAAACCCTAAACCCTAAACCCTAAACCCTAAACCCTAAACCCTGTAAGCCTCGAGGACTCCAATACTGGCAAGTCGACACTGTTGAACGCACTGTTGGGCCAGAAGTTGCTTCCGACCAGCCGCCTGGATTCGGGTACTTGGAGGCTCATGGTACTTAGGAACCCTAAACCCTAAACCCTAAACCCTAAACCCTAAACCCTAAACCCTAAACCGATGAACCAACTTGAACTGTACTTATAGCCCACTTACAAGCCCCTTAAGTGCCCGAATATGGTTCTAAGTGCAGTCATAGGTACGGTTCGGATTGGTTAAGAAGTACCATGAACCTCCAAGTAGGGGAGTAGCTGGGGGTTTAATTGGTGTAGGGCTATGGCAACCCTAAACTCCTAAAGCCCCTCAACCCTAACCCCCCCCCCCCCCCCCCCCGCGGAAATGGGACTTCAGGGTAGACGGACATTTTGGGTGTTTGGGTCTCGGCGGGTTGAGCGTTTCAGAGCCTCGGAGTTTAGGGTTGAGGGTTTGTTGAGCTTGATCTTGAGGGGCCCCCCAAGCGGCCACCCAAAAGCGGTGCTTGGGGTCCGGAGTCTAAGGCCTCAAAAGGGATCCTTCTATGGGCTGTCGGGTGTATTAGGGTTTAGGGTTTAGGGTTTGGGGCTATTCACCCTAAACCCTAAACCATATTCTGAAAGAGGGTATGTATAGCTCTTTTGTTTGTGAGTCATCATATGTGGCTCCTCGTGCATGTTCGTGACGGTATATTTTGTTGGGTGTCCTTATGGGGATACTCGTAGCAAAGCCCTACTCAATGTATGTTATCGGTTCAGGATACAGACATTGGGGTTTTGGGGCTTTGGGGAATCAGCCACGGCACGCCGACGGAGATGGAAGCAGATTTGCCTTCCAGGACTGTGGGTTTAGGGTTTAGGGTTTAGGGTTTAGGGTTTAGGGTTTAGGGTTTAGGGTTTAGGGTTTAGGGTTTAGGGTTTAGGGTTTAGGGTTTAGGGTTTAGGGTTTAGGGTTTAGGTTTGGGTTTCGTATGAGAATCCAAAGAGGACCTAAGACCCCCCCCCCCCCCACCAGATACTACAAGCCCTGAGCCTAAAACGCTTCATCCCCCGGAGCTTATAGGGGTTTTTGGTTCAAGAGAGACCTTAGAACCATGTCCTTTAAGCCCGCTTAAAACCCCCGTTAAAGCCCCTTTAAGCCCTCTTGAGTCCCCCCGCCTTAAGCCGGCCTGAACCCAAGTGGCTGAGCTCAAGACCCAGGCTACAAGTCCTGCACCTCTGCGATCACCAACGTGCAACTCTTGCTTCTCGGCCCCCGTTGCCATGGACATGCCAGCGGATCTACAGGGTGGGGCCCCCTAGTTATAAGTAGAGTTATAAGGGCCCTAAATTGGGTTATAAGGACCCTAAGTTAGGTTATAAGTCCCTTAACTACAGTTAGTATAGTAAGGGGGCCCCACCCTGTAGGGCTCTAGGGTTTGCCCCACTTGGAGGCTCATGGTACTTCTGAGCCAATTACGTCTGTACTTAGAACTGTGCCTAGAACCATATTAGGGCGCTTAAGGGGCTTATAAGTGGGTTGTAAGGACAGCTCTAATTGGTTTATACCAAGTACCATCAACCTCCAAGCAACCCCTATGTTTGCCACTTTGCTGTCACAGGCTAGGCAGCAGACTGCTGCTCCCTAAAAAGTCCAGCTGTGCTGCTGTTTCTCCATTATACATGCATTTGGTGCCTTTCCGGCGACCCCTTCTTTCTTTTAAGCACTTTTTTCCCCTAGCTAGCGGAGCTTTCCGAGCTTCCTATCCTAGACCCTAAGCCCCAAACGTTGAGAGTCTAGTAGTCGTGCTTGACAGGGTTGCCCGTAACCAAAGCCCTAAACCCTAAACCCTAAACCCTAAACCCTAAACCCTAAACCCTAAACCCTAAACCCTAAACCCAGAACCCAGAGCCCAGAGCCCAGAGCCCAAACCAAACCAAAGCCTTGTACCTGGTAGAAGATCCTGCACGCCCTAAACGGCTTCAGGCCCTACAAGCCCCAAGCGTCCAGAAGCCTGTACAGGGTGGGGCCCCCTAGTTATAAGTAGAGTTATAAGGGCCCTAAATTGGGTTATAAGGACCCTAAGTTAGGTTATAAGTCCCTTAACTACAGTTAGTATAGTAAGGGGGCCCCACCCTGTAGTTCCTAAGCCGTATAAACCCAAAAAGCCCTTTTCCTGCCGCAAGGAAGTCAGAACAGCCCAAGCTGAGCTACCAGTGGAATGGCGTGGAGGAGGTGAGCAGTTAGCAGGGTACCACACTCTTAAGCCCTATAGGGTTGAGTTTGGGGATAGGATTTAGAAGATAGGACTTATTTTGCCCGAGACTGTGGCAAGGGTGTTTCGAAGTCCTTGGTGTTTTTGGAGGTTGAAGGGAGCCTGTCAGGTTTAAAGAAAGGTCCCTGCTATGCCGGCTGTATGGCCTCCGAGCACAACCCTCAGGCCTGAGCCTCTCAACCACAAACCCATCGCCTTATGCACCCTCAACCTCCCTAAGCCCTGGACCCTTAAACTGCTTTTCTAGAACTCTATCTCTTAAAGAACTAACCCAACCACTCACCCGTGGACCTGCACTCTCAGCGCCACCGCGTTGAGGATCTAGGGTTCAGGGCTTCTAAGGCTGAGGAGTTTGAGTTTCAAGCCCCACTAGCCCAAACCCTCTAGGTGGTGGAAGGGAGGAAAGAGATCCTGAACCGGATCAAGAGCCTCAATGAGCAGGCTCAGGGTTTAGGGTTTAGGGTTTCGGGCTCAGGGTTTAGGGTGTAGACTTTAGGGCTCAAGGAAGAGAGACCCCGATTTTCAAGGGGTCCTCTGTATGGTCCCTTACCTTCCTTCAAGGGTTCTGCTGAATTAAGGGTATATAGGTGTATTTAAGGGGTCCCTTTTTAAGGGACCATACTAAGGGACCATGTAACTACTCTTAGAGATTTAGAGAAGTTGGCTATGCTGGGGTTAGGGGACCGGCAGAAGTGGGCTTAGTGCTACTGATAAAGTCTTAGGGTTTAGGGTTTAGGGTTTATAGGGTTTAGGGTTTAGGGTCTTAAGTGTCTTTGAGGATTTCATGGTGCCCCCCTAAACCCGACCCCCTAAACCCTAAACCCTACTGTTGGAAGCCTTGACGCTGGCGTCCGACGTACCTTGACCTGAACGGACGTGTCAGCCAAGGAACCTCTCACAGTCCGGGTCGCGGGTTAGGGTTTAGGGTTTCGGGTTTAGGGTTCAGGGTTTAGGGTTTAGGGTTTAGGATTGACCGCAAAGCCTCTCTACCTTAAGCCAGAATGAGGCTGGCCCGCAACAAGCACCCCCTGAAAGCCCCAGGGTAGTGCCCTGTCGTCCATGCTTTCTGGCACACCTTATGACCTATACCCTGTATAACTTATGATAGTTTGAGGTCTAGGTTCTGGAGGGTAGGGTTCAGAGATTCGGATTTACCCAACACGCTTGGGTCGTCACTTCGCCTGTCACTTCCACAGGTACGGGAGAAGGATGCTTGCCACATATGGAGGTTTACGATATTAGATGTACCTTTTGGGGGGTCCTTATGTAAGGGGATCCTACTATTTGGGGGTCTATATCAGGGGTCCCTGAGTTTCGTAAACTCCCATATTGGATGGGCTGTTGTAGGCGCACCGGGTTCTACGTTGAGGGGCTTAGGGATTTGCAGGCGTGGGCTTATGGCGTTCCACTTGCTTCAGGTTGTTCGCTGGCTTTCT